AGCAGTATGTCTTAAATACTCACAGCACCATATCGGCTTATGTATTGGCAGTAGCAAGTTTCTGTACTTGCTTGCAGCAGCAATAATCTACAAATACAGCAATAACCAACAGCAGCAGCAGCGTAGCAGATCTATTCCACCAAGACCAAATACATTAACATTGTCATATCCATCACCATGCTAAAGTCTTCAGAGAGTTCTCATGATCAGTGTTGGGCTTGTTACTCCAAAAATGTAATTTATGACTAGCTGCTCCTTTCAAAAGTAATATTATTACTTTCTGGCAACAGTAATTAGTTACACTACTAGTTACATTACTTTTCCTTCACCCCCCACAGAAGCTGTAATTGTGTATCTTCCCCATAAAATTCTTCTAAAATGTTACTAACAATATATTTCTGCCTCATCATTTGACCAAAATCTACATTGGATCGAAGTCAGAAGTTATTACAAACACTCAATAGTGATTGATAGTGACTTTTAAGTAAAAGTGTTGTATTAATTGTCATGTGTAGCATGAAGCTAATTGTAGCTATAATTTCTCTGTTACCCATATATGATTATATTTCATTAAGTATTTTATCAGTGTAAATGTGATAATGGCAGTGTAATGGCAATATTTCCATCTCCAGAATGTAAGCTTTTCCATATTCCAAGCTTTCCTGATGCACTGGTGTCTTCATATGCGAGTCGTGAAAATTATGAAAATAAATCTAGGAATTATTGGATTGTTGGATTTCAAATCAGTAGGGGTTGAGGCATAAAAAGTAACTAAGTAACTAGCTGTTTTATGGATGGTAACTAATATTATTACTGAAATCTTATTAGTAATTAGTTACACTACTAGTTACTGCAAAAAGTAACATTATTACAGTAACTAGTTACTGCCCAACACTGCTCATGATAGAACTGAATTTTTGATCCAATAAATGCAGCCTTGGTGAGTGAGACTTCTTTCAAAAATATTAAGACATTTTATTTACTCCAGACTTACAAATGGTAGTGTATACACAAGGAATTCTCAGGAGCACTGTTATTCTAACAGATATTTGCTTATTAGTTAATTTTCAATTTTATTATTTTGTCTCAATGTTTTTGTGGATAAGGGTGTTGAATTAAAACTGTTCACTGTTGAATTAGTATCATATGATCATGAGTTGATTGATAGTTATTAGTCAACATTGCTCGCTCAGTGTTGTAAATAAATATATGTTACAAGCTGGAGTGTGAAATGCCCTGAGTCTTGGTTTCACATTTTAGCTGAACGTTCTGGCTTAGTTGATTTTGTTGAAGTGTATATATTGACAGCAAGCCAGATATGAAGTGCTGAATTTAAATCTAATCCCTCATAATGTAATCTTCTGTCGTGTGTGTGTGTGTGTGTGTGTGTGTATTTCCCCCAGAGTGATCCAAAGACCTTGCTGAAATGTCTGACAATGTGTGCCGAGTTGTTCAAGCAAATGAACATCAAGAGAGGAATCTGCCCTACCATGAATGCTCTGATTGAGTCACTGGTACAAAACACATTTATTCAATTCAAGTTTATTTGTATAGCGCTTTTCTCGATACAAATCTATAAAAGCACTCACATCAGTACCGATTTCCTGCTATTCTGCGGTGTAGGACAAGCGTGTGTCTGCATAGCACTTTTATCACAAGTCAATTTGGTTACTGGATTCTCAACACAAAATCAGTGCAGTGCTTAATTAGAGCTGCAGTTATGGGAATATAACTTCAAAGTGATCTCTCCATTCTAGATACTGCCAGGTGTGTCCAACCCTAACCCTGCTGTGCGCAACATGGCTGTGATCTGTTTGGGAACTGCTGCCCTCCACAGTAAAGACCTCGCCAACACACACCTTGTGCTGCTCTTGCAGGTATTTATAACACACTTGTTATAAAGATGAATGAATTCACTTTGTCCTAGTGGCTCAGAGGTTTATTTTTATTTGTATGTTTAGATCACACAGCTAGATGAGCCTAAAATCAGGATCAGTGCTCTCCGAGCTCTCATCGACCAGCTCCTGCTCAATGGCCTCAACATCCTGCAAGACAAGCCTGCTCCTGTCTCCCAAGACGACAGTAATGGGCAGCCTGAACATCAAGCTGAGGAGGAGGGTACCATTCAGAGCATCCTGAAGATGCTCTCAGAATTCCTTGATAGTGAGGTACTGCATATCCATTATATTATTGGTTATACTATATTGGAACTTTGCCATCACTAGTAAACCTGATAGTTCTTGCCAAACCCTACAGCTAAAAATATCAATCATCATTGTATGCCTATCCTGTTGTAATAAATTGACACCAGGGCAAAAAAGTGACAGTTTTGTGCATGTCCAATTGGAATGGAATTGACAGTAGGGCTGAACGATTAATTGCATTTGCGATAATATCGCGATATGAAAAAACGCGGAGGCTGCGATTACACTCTGTCACGTGACACGTGAGAGTAAAGAGGTGTGTTCGACATCAAAGTACGGCGAGAGAAAGCATAAGGAGACGTCCGCTCTCTTATAGCTCTCGCAGTACTTTGATGACACACACCGATAGGTCTAAGCAGTGCTGCTTCAAGTCGAGCACATCTAAGCAGTCTTCAGAGGAAGCATCAAGTTGGCATGCTACAGTGTTGCCAAGTCCGCGGTTTGGGGAACCCCTCCAAAA